AAAGCACAGGTGAGGGGGAGGAGCTGGGCGAGAGAGAACTCTTCCCGAGACACTGTTGGGGCACACGCATGTCGGGCTGCACCTGACCTGCTCCCACTGTGACTGTGCTCACCCCGCTCCCATCCCACCCCCAACGGTGTGCGCAAAGGCATCAAAACGCCCTCCCCAGATGTGCTGAACAAGCCTTAGTACTACCGTGCCACTTAGCTACTTTCTCTGCCTGCTCCCTGGCCACTCCTGAAAGGAGAAGGCCAGGCTTGCTAGACAGGTCATTCTGGAGCAAGGTCTTGGTGGAAGCTGCCAGATTTAGTCCATCTGGGTACATCTACACAGCAGGGCTAAAGCTGGAATAAGCTGAGCCACTTGCATGACGTCAATCGCGCCGCTTAAGTCAAAATAGCTTTTATTGACTTTCGGCGCTGTCTACACAGCAGGAAGTCTGAGAGCTCGTCCCTCCACTCCCCTGACTCCTCGTAAAACGAGGGTTACAGGCAGGGGCGGCCCATGAGCCTAGGCGAGCTAGGCAGCTGCCTAGGGTGCTGCTGGCCCGGGCACCTGATGATGACGTCACGGCTATTGACGGCCGTGCAGGCAGGGGTGCCGATTGCACCGCGGGGGGGGGGCCCGTTTGCCCCCCCCCGCCTAGGGCCCCAGCTGCTGCAGCCGGCCTCACGCCGCTCCTGGTTACAGGAATCGGTGTACGAAATCCTCTGGCTCACCGTTATTTTGACATTGTTTGATACTGTAGACGTGGACTTTATTTCGGAATAATGTCAGTTACTCTGAAGTAACACTGCTGTGTAGCCAGACCCTTTGTGACCAAGGCAGAGGGCAATTCAAAACGACAGAAGGGAAAGACCCAATGCATATCTGCCCAATGCAGCCGTGTTTGGCCCTGCCAGGCCAGCCAATAAAGAGACCAGATTAAGTCCTGTTGAGGCCCTAAGCTATGTCAAGTTTCAAGAGGCCCCATAGCATTACCAAAAAAAGTATTGTAATAAAAAAGACAATGAACATAGAAATAATAAAGCTTTATATTTGCATAGATACTGGTACGCAGGCGAGGCTGCAACTAAAGACTAGTGATAGTTTGTATTCAGAGGCCCCTAATAATCTGAGGTCCTCAGATAAACAAGCTTCCTTGGCTTGTGCATAAATCCGGCACGATAGCCTGGAGGTCCCAAAATCAGTTGGGTAGGACAGCTGCCCGATGCATCCTTGCCGCTGGCCTCTAGCATATTGGGGCAACTCTTTGGTTTTTTTTTTTCCTCGTGACAATGTTCAAAATTCCTTCTGTTCCCACCCAGATTCTCTCACTTTGACTTTATCTTCCCGCAGCTGGTCTGAGCAATGGGGCGAAAAAGGTTACATCCGCCTGGCGAAAGGAGTCGACAATCACTGTGGTGTGGCCAATCAAGCAAGCTACCCTGTCTGGTAGCCAGTGCTGGGTTTTCCTCCTGCCGCAGGCCTGCATGCCCGACGGGCTCATGTGTGTGGTTTTGGTTTTTTTTTTTCTTGATCTTCATCAGCCGGCTGGAGATTCTTCTGCTTCCTGGCAGTAGTTTCTAGGCCTTTCCTTAGCTGCCAAGGACTATGATTTACCTGGGTTTAGAAGCCATTAAAAATGGTGCAGCAAATTGCTCTTGCACGCCTGGGTAAGTCATGCTCAGGTCACGCAGTAGCATGGTGGAAGGTGGCTCAGTGCCCTGTCCGAAGTGTTCCTAAAATAAAGAATGTTTTCCTCTCAGTGGGAAAAGCAGACTTCTTGGGGGTTTGAAAGACGATTTTAAAGACACTTCTCCAGAGGAGCTTGCTATAGATCTTACAAGTTTAGCTCCTGCGCTCTGTCCCATTCATCTCTTTAACTGAAGCCTTCGGAGCCGGTGCCAAATGGGCTGGTGCCAAACCACAGTGACAGGCCTGAGAGGTGTAGCAGTATCTGTGACCTGAGTCGGTCGCTATTATCTGAGCACTGGCTTAAGGGCAGGCCCTGTCCCACATGCCCTGTGGAGCTGGCTTTCCTGAAAAGATGCATTTACATAGCAACCAAAGGGGAACAAATCAAGAAGCAGCATAAATAGCTTCCGTTATGTGTACTCTTGGGCTGCGTGTGCTGTAGCTGTGGAGAAAGGAAGTGATTAGAAGCCCATCACATTCGCTCTCTAATTTTTCATTTGCTTTGTGGGGGACAGGGTAGTTTGCAGTGCAAGTCTACCCCATGCACACAGTGTGGCAGGGCTACTCGGTTCTAGGGTTGCCAGGTGTTCTGTATTCACGTCCCCCATCCAGTAAACCCCCCCCCCCCCCCCCGAAAATACCAAATACAGGACTATGCAGCACTTTAAAGACTAACAAGATGGTTTATTAGATGATGAGCTTTCGTGGGCCAGACCCACTTCCTCAGATCAAATAATGGAAGAAAATAGTCACAACCATGTATACCAAAGGACTATTTTCTTTTTTTTTATTGTTACTATTTTCTTCTGGCCCACGAAAGCTCATCATCTAATAAACCATCTTGTTAGTCTTTAAAGTGCTACATAGTCCTGTATTTTGTTTCAGCTACCCTAGACTAACACGGCTACATTTCTATCACCAGAAAATACCAGACATGTAAAATGTCCGGTATTTCCTGTTTCCCTAGGACAGAAGCCTGGTGGGGACAATTTTTTTTCCCTGCTGTGTCGGGGAAGAGCAGGGGAATGAGGCGCGTGGGGTCATTTAAAGGCGCAGCGTGGTTATGTTGGTTTTTTTTTTGCTCAACTTTAGTCCCCCACTCCCTTTTTTTCCTCAACAGAATTGTGTGTGTGTGTGTGTGTGTGCGCGCGCGCGCGCGGTATTTGGGGTTAAACCATCAGGCAACCCTACTCAGGTCTGGTCCAGCTGCCCCTCTGGCAGGATGACAAGAGCTGGCAGGCCAAAGTTGAGGGAGCGGCATTACCGCTTTGTCTGCCAGCCTGCAATGCTAGTGGCTTAGATTTGGCTCACCTGCTTCCTGCAACAGCCGGACAGAGGAACGGCAGGGCCCAGCCTGAGTGCTGCTGCCACAGGGTCCCCTGGCTCAGTGCTGCAAGCGGTAGCTGCCATGGTGTGTGGGGGAGGAAGGCGAGGGGTGGTTGTTTTACACTGTGTTTTTACCTAGCAATGGTAATGTCTGAGTAAGGCAAAAGGAGAGTGCTGTCCGTGGCTGGAACTGGAAGGCAGAAGACCAGAGCACCTTGGGCTGGTCAGAGACTTGTTCTATGCCTCAGTTTCCTGTCCCCAGCAGGTGGATGCTAATACTGGCCAAACTCCCCCCAGCTCCTGTTGCAGTGAGGTCTCATGCTCCGATCCCTTTCCTATCAGCCTCCTGTCACTCCCCACCCATTGATTGTGCTTGGGCCAAGGCCAGAGATGCCTCTGTTCGAGAGAGAGTTCTCGGCTGAAAGCTGGACTCGGGGACGGAGCCCCCCTGGGGAGGGCAGTGCCAGGGAACACCAATGAAGCCAGCAAGTCTAGTGCTGTGTGCCTGAGCCTGTTCCTGGCTGTCAGTGCCCCCAAGGAGCAAACGGCTGACACCCTCCGCACCCGCCCATGCAAATGGCAGCCGTCCGCCCGGATCCAGGCAATCTGAACAGCATCAGCATGTGTGAAGGGCAAGGGGAGCCACACTGCTGCTCAATGAGCCTTTTTATGGCTGTGAAGTTGTTCCAGCCCATTCTCAGGCCGCGGTCGAAGCTGCCCTGCTCCTCCGCAGCCGCGTTGGACAATTTGCTTTTGCAGCACGACTCTCAGCCCAGCTGGTGTCCTTCATGCTAAGCCTCCGGAGATTTATGAGCGAATTAGCAGCTCCTTCAGCTTTATTTGCCCCGCACTCTATGAAATCGCAAGCTGCACTTCGGGTATAAATCAAGCATTGCGCAGCTGGCGGCAGGAACAGCGAGGAGATTGATTTCTGCGCTTCCAGCCAGGAGAGCTACTCTCCACCGCACCTCTGTCAAAGAGCAGCCAGCCCTGCAGGTTTAGCAGGGGGCCTGGGCTAGTTAAGCTTGTTGTATGAGCCGGAGCCAATGGACAGTCACCTGAAAGCGGTGAAGGGGAATGGAGGGAAGAGAGAGGGTTTTTTTTATGATTGTTTTATGGCTTTGGGACAGTTGTGGAAATGTAGTGTCACCAGCCCTGCAGAATGAAAGCTTCTCTTTACAAAACACTAGAGCAGGGGTTCCCAACCTTTTTCGGTCCCCGTACCACCTTGGCTTTTGGTAAACCTGCCCGTACGCCCCATTCAATTTGAAAGGAGATACATTCTACACTCTAGAATCCACAACTTTTTTCACTAACACTACTACTTTTGGACTAATTCAATTAGGATAATTAGTTATTTACCAAATATTCCCCGTACCCCCTTGACAAGCTTCTCGTACCCCCTGGGGGTACGCGTAGCCCAGGTTGGGAACCCCTGCACTTGAGGATTTACCCGGCTTTGCGTCCTTAGTAGGGATGTTAAATTGTGAGTAATCAGCTAATGGAGTAGCTCATGGAATTTCCATCAACTACTCAATTAGTTGATAAGGGGGAAAACTGCAGCACCGCAGAGGGGTTAGCTCCCGGCCCGGGTGCTGACCCTGCTGTGGCTCTGCCTTTTAAATGTATTAAGAGCTGCCAGGCGGCTCTTAATACATTTAAAAAGCAGACGTGCAGCGAGGGGACTGGGAGCTAGCTGGGAATCAGCTGATTCCCAGCTCATGCCTGGTCCCCTGCTACACTTCTGCCTCCCCTGTCAGCCCGGAGACGGTGCTCGGGGGAGCCAGCTTGTCCCCTGCTTCCCCCCCCCCCTTGTTGCCTCTTGGATAGAGACAGCAAGGGCGGGGGAAGTGACTAGTATATGCTTATCGGCTAGTCGCTTACTTCCCTAGTCATTGGAAAAAAAGCAAAGCTTATTTAGCTATTTCAATCATTGCACTAGGGTGAGGCTGAGGATTTCAGGGGGGGAGAGAACAACCCCAGCCCTCCCACCGCAGCGGTTCGGGGACTACTGAGAAGTGCCTGTCCATTACCACTGCAGCGGGTACAGCTGGGGCAGAGGGACATGTCCCCTAGCTGGGAGACAGTCAAACTCTCTTGCCAGACCCCTTCCTTTCCATGTTATGAGCAACATACCATGGTCCTGGGCCAACCAAACCCTGACCTTGCTTTAAGTTATGCAAAGAGGAAAGCGGCACACAGAATTTGGTGGTCCTAGCTTGTACTGTTTAGGAGGAGGTTTTTAAACAAAGGACTCAGAGACAGATACACATTTCTAAAATCTACAGTAAGAAGCTTCTCTTCTGGTGTATGGCCAACATCCTGACCTGCGGGGTGAAAAGGTATGCAGTTCAATCCCCGCATGTAGTGTTTTCATAGCTGTATTGGTCTCAGAAAATTAGGGCGAAAAGCTGGGTGAGGTAATATTTATTGGACTTCTGTTTGTCCAGAATCTCACCCATTCAAGCCCTGATATCTTGCAGGTCCTGTGACATTCCCGAAGGGCATCATGGCACTGACTAAACCGGTGGCATTCCTATGGTATTGTTCCTAGAATAAGATCAATGTCACGATGCCCCAGGCCACCTCCTGTGTGCTTAGTGCCAGTGCTGGCAAAGAAAGCAGTCACTGTGGCAGACGGAAAACGCCATCCCTGCTGCACGTAGGGTGCCACTGCTCTACAATGGCGCACGCATTGCCGAAGAAAAGCTGTCCCCATGTCTCCGCTTCACACCAGGCAAACATTGTGGCCGTGCTGGTGCTGCACAAGCCCTTCATGGTGCCGCTAAGCAAACAGTGCCCCACCAATGTGCTACTACAAGAGGCCATTGCTGCTGCAGAACCACACCGAAGTGCCTCTGTGCAAACACTGCTGTGCAAAGTCGCACACCTGCCACACTGCAGTGTCAGTTGTGCACCTAGTGTGCAAACGCCACCACCCTTGTGCTTGCCCTGGGTCACCACCCTCATGCACACGTAATCCCCCTCACACCACGCAGATGGGGATTGTGGGAGGGGGCCCTGGCCTCCCCTTGCTCCCCTGAGGCCTGCAGGGAGTAGAGAGAGAAGATCCCCCAAAGGGTTAATCTGCCACCCTGGCACCTCTGCCCACATCCAAGATGGCGGCTTGGGGATGCTGCTCACGTGGTCAGGCTCGCCCTCGTTCTGAATTGACCCCTCCGGCTTGCCGTAGGCAGGCTGCTCTTCCAAGATGGCGGCGCCCACCGGAGCAGGCACCCGGTGGCTCTGGGCCGGGCTGGTCCCCGTTCTCTTCCTGTTCGCCGCGGCCGACGAGGGGCCCAGCACGGCCGAGTTCGACGTGCGGCCCGGCGGGATGGTCCATTCCTTCTCCCGGAGCCTGGTGAGGGGGAGGCGGGTGGGCGCGGCGGCCTGATTGGCTGAGCCCCACGTCGTTCAAACATCCCGCCGCTTGGATTGGCTGAGAACCAGGGCGGGATGATGAGGCGATGTGAGGGACACGAGGGCGGGGCGGGCCGCTTCCGGCCAAGTGGCGCCCAGGAGGCAGGCTGAAGGGGGCGGGGCATGGAGCTTGTAGCCCCGCCCCCATGTCTTAGTCTGCAGCCCCTCCCCCAACAACAGTGGAAGGGTTTGCTGCATGCCCCCCCACAGGGGATGCTGGTTCTTGGGGGGGGCAACTGTGCCCCTTGATTGACGTGGCTTCCATCCTAGAGGGGTTCACAGTCTCAGCACCCCACTTAGCGTTGCCCCGACAACCAAACACGCGGCCCCTGCCCTTTCCCCACAGTCCCAGCCCTGCCTGGGCTCCCTGGTGCCCCTGCACCCGCCCTGCTGCTCGGCAGCGTCTCTGCTCCGATCGCCAACCACCAGCAAGGGCCTGTCCCCACTCACATCCTCCTGTGGCTGAGCCCCGCAGGGGCTGGGGGGGGCCCAGCCTGCAGAACGGAACTCCCACTGCATGGAATGGTAGAACCCCAGGGCTGGAAGAGACCTCGGGAGTCCTACCCCAAAGCAGGACCTACCCCAACTCAATCAGCAGAGTCGCCACGTTGAACTGGACTATGCAAATCAGCTGCAGCGCCCAGATGACTTGCAGTAAGGCCCCTGCTTGGGCATAAACCCAAATAATCTTAATCTTGTACATGTGGGAAACGGGGACAATGCCACGATTAACTGATAACCAGTAAGCCTAGGCTTAATCTTGTTGACACACATCCGCCCCTTGCTGCCTCAGTATCTAATAGAGGCAGCAGCATGGGGGGAAGCTACCAGGAAGACGCCTCTGTCCGTTGTGGGCCCGAGCTCTACACAAACAGAGGCTGCTCCGCAGTTCACGGAGCAGCAGTCCGAGGTCCCCGTGGACAGAAGCTGCTCCACAGTAGGGGCTTCTGCTGCTGCAGAGCAGTCTCTCAGACCCTCCTAGCCCCCCGTGGACAGGGACTGCTGCCACCCTGTACTGCTGCCTCTATATCGGAGACAGCAGTGCGGCGTGGCAAACAGCCGAAGCTGGTTTTGAAACTGGCTCCCTTTGCAGACCAGCTCTTGCCTCTGTATCAGAGACAGCAGCGCAGGGTGGCAGGGGGCTCCCTGGGAGTGGGGCCAGGAGCTCACTGGCTGCCAGCCCCGAGGAACTATCGAATAGTTGTGTAACTGATAAGATTTCATGCAGTTTTGCAGCTATTCAATTACATGATATCTTACATCCCTAGAAACAATTATAGCCACGTTCGGGGGGAACTGTAAGTACTTCACGACTTCTCACGCTTGGAAAGAAAATGTAAGGGCTTTTGGCAGCTCAGAACCTAAATTCCCCCAGCTTCCTCAAGTGAGATACGTTTTGTACAAAGCCAAGCAAATTGCTTATGCTCTACAAATAGCTAGTAACATCGTATATCCTGTTTGAGAGAGACTGCTGACTTTTCTCTGCTGTTTTCAAGGGGGATTACACCTGCTCATTCACATATGCTTCTCAGGGAGGGACCAATGAGGTGAGTTATTTGAACACTTGGTTTAAGAAATCCTGACACAGACTCCATGACAGTAGAACAAGAAACCTCCCAAGAGGTCTGTATGTCAAATGACTTTGTTCATCATTTTTCGGAGGCTCTGGTGAATAGTAGATTTTGTCTACGCTTGTAAGTTGGGCGCTTTAACGTGGCAGTGTAGTCACGGCATCTGGGCTGGGAGAGAGCTCTCCCAGCACTGTGGGTAAATCACCACTACGGGGGGAGTAGCTAACAGTGCTGAGAGCCTGTTTATACGGGTGCTTTCCAGCTGCGCTTGGAGGAAGGGAGGTTCCCAACCCTAAGCAAGAAAGTTACAGCCTGGTAAAGTGGCAGTGTAGACAATCCCTGGTGTATTTAGATTCCTAGAACTTACAGTGTAGGAATAAGGAACGATTGCATCTCTCTTCCTGTATGTAGAAACTCTCTTATGAGAAACCTGTATCACAGCAACCCAAAGTGTTTAAAAATCTTGAGAAGCCCTGTGAAAAAATTACAGGCGTAAATTAATAAGTGTTGGGCCTTTTTCATTGCCTTCTGGTGGTTGTGCCTTTAGGATTTGGCTTTTCTCCACAACCACAAGGACTAGAAACTTGCCTAAAAAAAAGAAAAAGCCAAGAATCTCTGGTAATTCCCTGACTCGAGGAGCTGGAGCTTTAAAAGATCAAACAAATATCATGAGTTAGAAACACTGCATGTCTGCATAAGAGGTTTGTCTGTTTTAGCCTCACTTACGGACGAGGGCTGGGTGTGCTACACTAAGGCTTTGTTTAGTAAGTCCTGGCTACCTATAAAGCTTATATCACTTGTAGTTTGTTTTTCTATTTTTGGATAACGGTTGGTGTCTCCCTAGAATAGCATGGCATTTTCAACCTCCTTACTGGTGCTGGGGGAAGCTATGTGCAAATAACCAGCAAGCTCCCTGCTCTTAAAGGGCATGTCAATGCTAAGAAACTCTTTTGAAATAACTACATTTGAAATAACGTGTGATTTAACAAAATTGAAATAGCGTGTCCCTACTATGGGAGAGCCTCAAAATGAGTCCGAGGCAGGCTCTGTTATTGTGGACACTCTACCTTGACTTAGAGACCCAGGAAGCACTGGGGAGTAATTACTTCAAATGACTCTGGGGAGTTGTTATTTTGAAATAGCAGCAGCAGAGCGTCTACATTACCGCCATTTTGAAATAACTATTTCAAAGTAAGCGTTATTCCCCAAGGAAAGCGGGAGTACAGATTTTGAAATGACCAACTTGTTATTTCGAAATAACGGGCTTGGTAGTGTGGACGCTCCGCTTATTATTTCAAAATGGGGGTTATTTCAGAATCACTCCCTAGTGTAGATCAGAGTAAAGAGACTTGAAGACTTTGATTGTTTATATTGCAGTAGTACATAGGCCTAACTCAGATCAAGGCCCCATTGTGCTAGGCCCTGTACAAACAGAACAAAATGACTTTCAATTCGTGTGCAGCTTCCTCTGGAGAAGGATCAGCCCCAGGCCCTCTTCCTGTAGCATGAACAGGGTCGTTACTTTTTCAAAGGGGGGAGGCTTCTGCTGCTCCATCCAATTATTGGTTCTGATAAGCAGCGGGGCACTTAAATGGCAAACGGTGTGTAATTGTGTATGTGCTGTTGTACATGTTGAATTTGTAATGAAGGAGATGTCGGGGCTCACGCAATTTTACTTTCATATCTGATGTTCATAGCCCAGAGGTATCAGGGCTGTGAACTGCCAGGCCCAGAAGTGCCTTGGCTGAAGCACAAAGTAAGCACGGTCTTTTGTTTGACAATGGCACTTAAATGGCAAACGGTGTGTAATTGTGTATGTGCTGTTGTACATGTTGAATTTGTAATGAAGGAGATGTCGGGGCTCACGCAATTTTACTTTCATATCTGATGTTCATAGCCCAGAGGTATCAGGGCTGTGAACTGCCAGGCCCAGAAGTGCCTTGGCTGAAGCACAAAGTAAGCACGGTCTTTTGTTTGACAATCATATTGGGCCCTTCTCAAGTTTTTTCTCCTCATGCAATAAAATTGCAATCTGAAGAAAGTGACTTTCAAGTTTACATGGTTCACCTTTCTAATGAGATCCCTCCCCTGGAATGTCGGTTGTGTTGGTGAAACAAAGTGCAGGACTATGTAGCACTTTAAAGACTAACAAGATGGTTTATTAGATGATGAGCTTTCATGGGCCAGACCCACTTCCTCAGATCAAATAGTGGAAGAAAATTGTCACAACCACTTATAACAAAGGATACAATTACAAAAAATGAACATATGAAAAGGACAAATCAAATTTCAGAACAGAAGGAGGATGGGGGGGTGGGGAGGTAAATGTCTGTGAGCTAATGGTATTAGAGGTGATAATTGGGGAAGCTATCTTTGTAATGGGTAAGATAGCTAGATCCTTTGTTCAGACTCAGGTGTAAAGTAGAGAGGCTTGTGATGTGCATAGCTAGTACCATTGCTTTGGGCATGACTGTAACTGCCACCCAGGTTTACTGTTCAGACCTTTTCTCTCCACAGCGGTGGCAGATGAGCACTGGAGTCAGTGAAGACAACAAGCTCTTCTCCTGTTCAGTGTGGAGGTGTGTGGAGCCTTTTAAGAGTGTGCCTTGTTCTCTGTACCTCAGCCCTTGAATTCCCTGGGCTCTCCGTCTTCAGTTCTCCACAGACCCGCTCTGTTTGGAAGACTCGTTCCCACTTTACACTCTCGTGCAGAAGTCTGAAGGTTTGGGGGTAGTTAGGTAACAGGTTTGCATCTGTTAGGGCCCATTTTAATGCCAACTGTGGCCCTTCTTGTGCGGTAGCTGGGATCTTCTGTGCCAAGGCCTGGTTTACACTAAAAAGTTAAGTCAACCTAGTTACATTGCTCAGGGCCCGTAGCAACTTAGCTATGCCGACCTAACCCCCAGTGCAGAGATGCTGGAAGTAGGGGTGCTGCAGCACCCCCTGGCTTGAAGTGGTGTCCGTTAAGTACATGGTTTATAGTTTAGTTCAAGGGCTCTCAGCACCCCCACTACGCACATTGTTCCAGCACCCCTGCCCCAGCGTAGACACTGCTAAGCCGACAGAAGAATTCTTTTGTCGACCTAGCTGCTGTCTCTCGAGATGGATTGCCTATCCCCTCCCCTCGGCACAGGTAACGTCTGCACTGAAGCACTCAAGTCCACATGAGCCTTCAGACTTATCTGGGAGCCAGGATTCAAGGTGTAGATAAACCAGTCTGGAGATCACACACTTTCATGCCAGATGGTATTTCCCCTTTTCAGTCCCTCCCTAGTGTGATGAGGCCATGAACCCCTGGATATTACTGTCCCGGTTAAATAAATACACTGGTAGCTGGTAGGGATGTTACATATCGGTTAACTGAATAGTCGAGTAACCTCATGAATTCTTATTGGTTAGTCAACTATTCTATAGTCCCGGGGGACAGGGCTGGCAGCCAGTGTGCGCCGGCTCCACTCCCGAGGAGCCCTCTGCCAGTCTGTGCGGGGTACCAGGCGAGAGCTGGTTCACGAGGAGAGCCAGTTTAAAAACCAGCTCCCCCCATGGATCGGCTGCCTGTCACCCTGTGCTACTGCCTCTGATACAGAGGCAGCAGTGCAGGTGTCCAGGGGAGTGGGGGGTGGAAATGGGTGTAGTCTATAGCATTAACCTATACGCTTTTGCTTATGGGATAATCGGTTAATCGACTACACTAGTACATCCCTAGTAGCTGGTTTGCAGAATGACCATTCTTGGAGTCCTTGGTCCCAGATTAGCCTCGCTGGATTCAGGTTAAACCCTGTGCCCGTTATTAAGGGGCATTTGTTCCCAAAGGAATCTGCGGGCTTCCGGCAGCCTCCTTAGATTGGGGGCAGTTTGTAAACTCCACCATCTCCCAGCCTTTTCCCACTCGCCGAGATACAGGAGAAAGGTGAGGTCCCTTCCTGAAGGGACAGTACATGCTGTGATCACTCTCCTCGTATCTCTGTCCTTTCTTGTGCTGTCCCAATTCACAACAGGGACAACCAGCCCCCAGCAGACTGCTGCTTCATTTCAGAGCCCCGATTGGCCGGTAAGAGAGACACCCTTGTCCGGGAGCCTGAGCGTGATGTCTGTAATGCTCCCACCTTGTGCTAGCTGCGAAAGCCGCAAACACAATTCCGATCCCTGTGCCCCCAAGTGTCAGTGATGGTCTAATCGCCGGGCCAGCAGCGTGCTCCTGTTCTGTCTCTGCACGACCTTTTCCTTCTTTCAAAGTCAAAGATTGTGCTCTTCCTTTGCAGGCCCCAGGGAAAGTCTTATCTCTTCTTTACCCAGTTTAAAGCTGAAGTGAAAGGAGCAAAGATAGAGTACGGCATGGCTTATGTAAGTCCTGGCTGATTACTTTGAATGGGCATATGGGAGAGGGGCTGCAAAATAAGAATGATCAGACAGCTGTACTATAAAATGTGTACGACGAGGTCATTGCTCTGTGGCGCACTTAAAGCGTGGGTCTGGTCAGAAACATGGCTACAAAGGGGCCATTGCACAGCGTAAAGTACCTGCTCCCGGAATGGTTTTGTCCGGTTGCTGGACGCCAGTTGGCACTTTTGTCAGTAGCTCAGAAGCACTGCTCTTCTGCATAGGGAGGGGGAGGGGACTTGTGAGCCAATCCATCCACTCATCCATTGTGCAGTAGGTAACGCCTCTGATGGACCCGCTAAAAGATGCAGACGGTTTCTAGGGAACCATAGAAATTAGAGCGAGAAAAGACCTTTCAGTTCTGTGATTTGCAGTTGCTCCGATATTGGCAGCCCGTTCTCCAACAGAAACAAAGTTCCTTCCCTCCCCCGCCTCTTTTTAGGCAGCAAGGAGATCACTTTTTGAATTTAAGTGCAATCCAGGATCTACCTCAGTCCCAATACCCCTGCCCCGCCTCCTTCCCGCCCCGTCTCCGAGGCCCCGCCCCTGCTCACTCCTCCCCCAGCCTCACTCACTTTTATCAGGCTGGGGACAGGAATTTGGGGTGCAGGAGGGGTTCAGGACTTGGGCCGGGGTTCGGAATGCAGGCTCCAGCTGGGTACCACTTATCACAGGAGGATTCTGGGTGGTGATGCAGGGGGCTAAGGCAGGCTTACTCCTACCCTGCCACTGCACCACTCACAAAAGCAGCCAGCAAACTCTTTCTATTCCTGCCCTCCTCTGGTCTATGGAGATGGGGTACAAGGTGGAGGGAAGGGCACCCTGTGAGCAGCACCCCCCCTTCCTCCTGCACAGCAAGCAGGAGGCTCCCATGGGTGGAGGGCAGCTCCAAGGCAGAGGGCAGGAGCAGCATGGCGGTGCTGAGAGGGGCAGATGAAGTGCCGGCACTTGATAGCCTCCCGGCCAAACCTATAGGATCACCTGACAAAGGCTCCAAGATCTACCAGTAGAGCCCGATCTACTGGTTGGTGACCCCTGCCATAGAGAAAGGAAGGGTGTGCATGACCCCCCTGTCCAGTCCATTCCTCACAGCGCACTCCTGGCCAGGCAGAATTGTCCCTCTCCCAGTTCTCAATGACTCAAATCACACGGCTTCCCATCGCCTCCCCAAGGGGAAAATTGTAATAGGAGCGAGGACAGATTCCCAGAGATTGGCCTTTAAATGTGCTTTGCCAATGTAATCCCTTTCCTCTAGTTGTTATAAGCTGCAAGAGCCCAGGCAGTCTTTGGCAGCGAAGCCGGTTGATGGGCTTGTTTGTTTGTTTAACATGGTTGCTCTCTGGATTAGCTCATAGGGTAAAAATTCTTCCTTCCCATTTCAGGCCCAGGCTGCAACCGGTGGGCAGAGCGACGTTCCCTTAAAGGCAGAGGAATTTGAAATCACGGAAACCACAGGTCTGTAGCATCTAAAGAGAAGAGTGTGAGAGGGATTCCTGTGGGGGATGAGATCACTTAGCCAACAGGAGAGAAAGCTCTGTGTCTTTGGGGAACAGGCATCTAGACTAAATGCAAATAGGCAGCAGGAGTCGGGAAAGAATGCCTCCGCTACCCAGGTGGATGGGAAGTCACCCGACTCCTGGAGGATTCAGAGTCCCAGGTGGCGTATTAATAGCAACAGTGGATCATGAACTCTTTGGGGAAGGAACAGTCTTTTTGGTGGTTGGCTGTCTGGCAACTAACAAAACGAGACCCCGACCCGTAGCTGGATCACTCTCTGTATGTGCCGTGGGACTGATTTATTAATAACCTCTGGCACTCTCCACATGTTGAAGGTGATCAGTGCAGCTCAGTTTTCGATTTACCCCCTCGATCTCTTGGAAGGAAGCAGGGATTCAAACCGTCCACTGACTCCCTGCTTGTGTGTTTTCTCTTTCTAGTGGCTCACAAAGAAGGCAAGTTCCGCTCCGAACTGTCCAAACTAGTGATTGTAGCGAAAACGCTCCATGACGAGTTGTGATCCGGAGACCAAGAGATGGGGCTTGTCTTTCGGCTGGAGATGTGTGATGGATAAAGGGGACTTTTTTCTTAATTGCTGGGTGTCTAGGGTGTTCTTTCCTCTTTCCCACCTAGGAGTATGTCAGGGTCCAAATATGAGCTGGACTCGGAGGTGTTAAGATAGACACCCTCTGTCTTGTGTCAGAGTAACCATGTGCCTGAGGTGCTGGAGGGCTTTGCAGCTGGAGACCTCCGATATTCTTGATTTGTAGCCAGCCATTCTGTTGCCTGCTTTCTGCTCCAATGATTAGCTGAATACGGCAAAGCTCTCCTCCAGCAGTGTCTCCTTATCTTTCTCGCTAAGCAGAGCAATGCAGAAAGATAAGGAGCGGGATTTAAGCAAGACTTGCTCAAGGAAAGTAGTTAACGCTTTGGATTTCTGTCCAGGAGTGGGACAAGGACTGATTCAAGGGGTAGTAGGAGGGGGGGTGCAGAACCAGCCAACCCCATTCACTTTCCTGCTTTGGTCACCAAAGAATAGCATTTGGTGAGCTGAAAAGGAAACTGTCCCTGTTGCCCGGGTCTGAATTTGGCACCTTGGCATAAGAAAAGCAGAGCTGTGGAGGCCACATGGGCCTTGTTTATTCTGATACGACACGGATATCCATCCAGTGAGGCAGCCGTTATTCTGTACAGTTCCAGGCCTATTTTCGTATCTACTGAAGTGATTTTCTTATTTAGTCTAATAACTGTGAAGGAATCGAGAATTCCCTTCATGTGTATAAAAACCAATAAAGCATCATGTCTCCAAGTTGGCTTTGATCTGTCCCTCCTGCTGTTCCAGCTTCTTACTGTCTCTGAGTAGGAGCCCAGAGTGTGGAATAGCCTTTGCTCTTCAGTTTGACATCCAATCAGCAGACGCCTGCAGATCCTTACGCTGGATCTCCGTGGTTGGGAGAACATAAGAACGGCCACGCTGAGTCAGAGCTAAGGTCCATCTAGCCCAGGGGTGGGCAATAATGTTTTACCGGGGGCCACTTTAGAAATTTTTGAAGTGGCTCTGGGCTGCACAGGATGGGGCGGGGCCTCAGGCGGAAGGGGCGGGGCAAGGACACTTCCCTGGTTCCCCACCCACAGACCATAATTGGTCTGGCGGTGGGGGAGCACGAGAAGTCTTTGCCCCCCCCACAAGTTCCCCCTAGGCGCCCATGCCCCTGGTGGTGGGAGGAGACTTCGTGCGCTCTCCCTTCAGCCCTCAAGCCAATCAGTGCTTAGAGGTGGGAGAGCGCGCAAAGTCTTCTCCTGTCCTGCCAGGAGCGCGTGAAGTGCCACGCTCTCCTTGTGGGGCAGAGAAAACTTCATGTGCTTCCCCCCCACCCCCAGACCCTGATTGGCTTGGAGGCAGGGGAGTGGCAGGGCCTCTGCAGGCTGGATGCACCTGCTTGGGACGGATCCAGCCCACGGAGGCCCTTTTGCCCACCCCTCTCTAGCCCAGTATCCTGTCCTCTGACAGCGGCCAGTGCCAGCTGCCCCAGAGGGAGGGACCGAATAGGCCACCATCAAGCGATCCCTCCCGCCGCTCATTCCCCGATTCTCACACCCTCCCTGCCATTGATGGGCCTAACCGCCACGATCCTATCTAGGGAGCGGCTGATGTGTCACAAGAGAAAGGCCACTGAAGATAACCTGCTTCTATGCCCAAGGAGCCCAGCAGTTAGCAATGCAGGGCATCTATTGCAACCCCAAATCCATCCTCCTGCGAGAAGCTGTATCCGACATTTTGTCCTCTGTTGTAGTCCCCAGCCATGCTACCGACGATCTATGAATTTGCTCCATCCTTCTAGTAGCTGTTGCTGGCTCACTTGTCTGTTGGGCAGTAGTTAGGGGCTGGTTGGCCTACCTTCTGTAGAGTCCACGTGGCCTTTGGAAGTCTGTTGCTCCTTGCACTTGAGGTTTTTAGACGCCGGCCTGATTTCCAGAGGTGCTGGGAACCCATGGCTCTTAGAGACAGAAAGGGGAAAATTTGGGGGGCAAAGGGAGGTTTCAGGCAAGGCCCAGGTCTGAGAGGAACCTCCTTGTATGGTTCCTCCAGATACTTTCCTGTTGCATTCTGAGGTCTGCTACCTCACGCGCTCTGACTCATGCTTAAGGACACTTGCTGGGTCCAGAGAACGTTACACCAGAGATGTGCCAGGTACTCTCATAAACGGTGCCAAGACCAGAGCAGCAAAGCATTTCTCTGTCAGTGCTGCAGCCCTCTGCGGCCACATCCGTCGGACCTGTTCTGCTTTGGTTTTTGGATATCGACAGGCTGTTCTAGGCCTGGGCCGCTCGTCAGCGCAGACTGGCCGGGGCCGGAAGGTAGAATAAGAGGGATTCAGCTTCTACAACTTGAACTGCAGTCCCGGGAGTTCTCAGCAGGCTCTGGGCTGTCTCTTCTACTCTGCAGCTGTAGCCACCACTTTCCGCTGCATCCCCTGCGGCTTCCCACAATTCAATTAGCTGCGCTAGTTTGGAATAAGACCAATTGAACACAGGAGACTGGGGCTTTGCAATTTTAAAAGGCTGAAGCTTATCAGCACCTCGAACCACCAGCAGTAGAGCTGGTATCAGAGGGGCACAGCAGCTCTCTGCTCTCAGGCTACAGGGTTCGCAAGTCCCCGACAGCCAGAGCTGCTGCTCCTGGGGATGTCCCTCCGAAGCGGAGGCGCGCGGGCAGCAAGAGAAGGCACGGCTGCCTTTGGGGAGGCTTAAAGGACAATTTTCAAAGCACAACACAGCGTCCAGAGTGTGAGAGCCAGGCCCTGAGCGCGCACTCCGAGAGAACGGTGTGCTCACCCTCCACCTTTATTCCAGCCTTGCAGCAAGACGCCAGACAGCAGCGTTCAGGAGCTGTGCTCTCAGCTCACGCATCCAGGCAGAGTTCCAGTGGCGGGGTCTGCTGGCTCTCTCGGCCCCGGCGAGGGGCAGTGGGCGCTATCTGGGGCGCTCTGCGTGGTGTCCCCGTCCAGTTCCCTCGTTCCTTTGACCCTCACACCTACCCCTGTTTTGCTTTGATTTGTCCCCTGGAATTACAGTAAAACTCCAATTGTCTGGCACTCCCAATAGTCCGGCACCAACTGGAACCTGGAAGTGCTCCGGCCAGCCGGACAATTGGAGCTGCTTCGCGCCACTTCCCCAAGTCCGCTGCTGCCACTGCTGAAACTGACGAGCAGCGGACTTGGAGAAGCGACGCAGAGCAGCTGGGGGGCA